ACGTCCGATTTCATCATGTGCCGGAGAAAGGTCAAATAGGGGCACAGAAAGTTCACACCCACTCCATGGCCAAGGCACCCCGTACACAAGCGCACAGACGGCCATCTATGATCAACCGAGAACCAGTGTGGGCGTGTGGGAGACACACTGGTTGGTTGACAGCGGATCGACCATCAAATACGGTGACAAGTGAATCATATATATAGAAGTTTGTAATTGCGTTAATAGACAGTTCCTTCAGGTCGTCTTCTTGTCTTCTGACTATAACCCAGTAGCGTCAGGGCAGGTGAAGAGATACAACAGAAACTGAGTGTCCGCGCAGACCGAGAAGCTTGGTGGACCCGAAAGGTTGAAGAAATGAAAGATGCAAAGAATGCTGGAAACGTGCGCAAATTGTTCCACTTGATTCGTTCGACTGGTCCTCGGAAACCTCTTGTCAGCGAAGTAATCAGGGGCAAAAATGGCAGCAAAGCAGAACGTTTAGACCGCTGGGCACAGTACTTCGAGCAGCAGTTCAGCTGGCCATCTGCCACCTCCACTCCAGAAACTTGGCCTTCAACAGAAAGGTGGACCGTAAATATGGAGCCGCCTTTAGTCTCAGAATTGTCCGAATGCATTTCTCTACTCAAGCGTCATCGTGCTGCTGGTCCTGATGACCTTTCCACCTGCTCTTTTCAAGGATGGCGGTGGATTCCTCAGCCACTACCATCCTCAGTCAGATGACCCACAATCCTGGTATTCCTTGACTTCAAGGGTGCGTTCGATTCTGTTGATCGATTAGTTCTGTTAACTACACTTGCTCAACAGGGTATGCCTCAGAAGTTGGTAAACATAATCCAATCCCTACATTCACATACTTCTAGGCGCGTGAGGGTGTATGGTGAGCTCTTCAAAAGCTCCCCTTAAAGAGTGGTGTCAGACAAGGATGTCCTATCTCTTCGTTTTTTGTCCAACTTCGTCATCGATGAAATAACGAGGCGAACACTGGACGGTTTTCAAAACCTTGGTGTCCAAATTGTTGCTGACGAGAGCCTTGTCGACCTGGAGTACGCAAATGACATCGCCTTCATCTTTGAAGCGAAGCACAAACCCTGTTGAATAAACTGACCGCCATCATAACATCTTTTGGCATGCGCCTTGCACCTCCAAAGTGCTAAGTCCTGCTTTAGAACGTACCATCTGCGAACATATCCCTTACAATTCAAGGAGAACCACTGGA